TTTTTTTTTTTTTTTTTTTAATGTATTTATCTGTTGAAGTGATTTAGAAAAACATCAAGGAGTCCAGAAATTAATGTTATGATAGGTGAGCATAAGGGGTGTGGAATGCAACCAGTTACACAAAGGACAGCTAAACTAATCCAAAGTAATAGAAGTGTTGAAAAGTAAAGTAATTATTGTAGAGCGAGAGCACAAGTCCCTACTGATATAAAATTAGCAAAGACCCAGTTTGTCCTTATTGTCATGAAAAYAGCAAATAAAATTTCCAATTAATATAAGAGTAATTATGATAATAATGTCCTGAATTGCTGAACCTTTCTAGTGAGGATTCTCACATAGTTTTAAAAAGGAACAGGTCAGAATKATCATAAGAACAACAAAGGAGGACAAAATCACCTCATGTCAAAAATATCCATTCAAAATCTTTTGGCAGATATTAAAAACAAGACCAGATGTGTAGATGTAGAGGAATTGCTGTGTCCTTGCTGAAGCAGTAATTTATGAAGAGATTTGTTGTGGAATTTACCCCTTACTGCAGAATTGTTGTCTCTGTTCTGAGGGTGTGCCCACACTTGCAAAGCTACTGGAATTTATTGGAGTAATTATTCCAGAATAAGTTGGTAAGTTTCCAGAGAAACTCCCAGCCCTAGTTTTAAAATGTTTCTGGCCCTGAATTTTGAGAAGGTATGTGGGTTTGTTTGTATGGTTGTATGGAAACAGAATTGCCTTCCTCAGGTCAGAGAAAGCCAGAAATAATAGAGTTGAGAGATGGGATCTGCCCTGTACCAGGCTTGTTTAAACTTAAAAAGGCAAGTCCACAACCTAGTAGAGATGAAATGTAGATGGAATGATAAAATTAAAACTCACTGTCAGATAGCACAGAAGCAGCACTATAGAATGGATACTTCATTGTCAGGCTAAAACTTGAAAAGGTTTGAAAATATGAAAACTGTAGGCTCCTTGAACTCGTAGATTTCTGGCAATTTTCATTCATGTACTGCAAAATTTGGGAACTTTCCTGAAAAAAATTAATACTGAACTTTCTGCAGAGCACACTAGGACTCCCAAAGAGGTTGCACATTATGCTTGAGGCCTGGCTGGAAAGATTATCTTACTGGATAAAACTACCTACAYTTTCAAACCCAAACTGCTTCACCTTTGTATACGATCCTTGTGCCCTACAAACACTCACATGTGAATCATCTCTGGGTGAGGGTGACACAGCTCGACAGGGGTGATCAGGTATGAGGAGAAACATTGCTGAGTTCAACAGAGTGCCTCAGGATGCAGAATTTATATTACATCAACATCACATAGCTCCAAAAGTATTAATAAATTCTCTTCCACCTCAGTGAAGTAAACAATTTGATTTTAAACGTTTGCACATATGGGAGAAGTTATATAAAATAAAGTTTGGTGAATTAAGGCGAGCCCTAGAGATTTACCACTAGAATCAATTCTGCTCTGTGGGTTGGGGAGCCTGCACTCTCAAAGAAGAGTATCCATATTCTCTATTTCCTCACYTGTTCTGTTTTGGGTTTTGTTTTGGTTTACTTATTTATTTTTAAAACTAAGTTTTCATCATCAGAAAAACTAGCTATTTTATACCACAGTAATTATTTTTCTCACTCATTTTATTTTTTTTAAACCTGTGAATGAAGCTTTCCAGCCTTAGTTTTAAGGGACTGGCTCACAGAAATTGAAATTAGGGGTAGTTCTTTTGCTGATTTCAGTAGATTTTGAGGATCTGTGATTAGTTTGTCTTAACTTGTTCCTGTCTAATGTGTTTACAATTCATGGAAGCAGCAGAAAGTTACTGCTGGGGATATTTGTGTTCTTGTTTCTAAATTTAATGTTGCTTTGATGKACAGATATGAAAGAATAAAATCTAAAATATTCTACAGAGCACATTATGAATGAGTGATAMTTTTCAGTTCAGAAACCCAATATACACCATTTAAAGACAGTTTTGATATATTTCAAATGTCAAAGTTTTTTGAAGTTCCAAGGAACTGTATAAAAATATGATTTATTTTCCTCCCACTATTATCTTAATGCATGAAGATAAATAGTGATTAAACATCTGTAATGGATGGGCCCAGAATCTATAAAGTTCACTTCAAATTCTTTTGGGGGAAGGAAGAATATTTAAAATCAATAAATTCTCTTTTAATACTGAAACATATGTACATATTTTAACAAGCCTGTCAAGATGATCTGTGTGAAAGGTAAAAATTATTCTCAGTGCTCTTATATGAAACTTTATTCTGATAYTGAGATGCTCTGGGAAGAAGTACATTATGAAAAGGACAGATTGTAAATACAGGCTTATCTATGTCTCAATACTTGAACGTACCATTACCTGCCACTAATAAGAACAGCTCGATGCTACCAGTAGCAACACTTAAATTCATTAATGGTGTTCTGATAGATGTTGACTGTGATGTTTGTCTCCCTGTCTCAGTCTCCTATGCAGAAACTTTTYAAGGCAATTGTCATCTGCACATGATGCTTTGTTGAAAAAAATTYTTCCTTCAGATGTGAGARCTGTGGAATAGAAACAAAAAATTCWACCTGAAATATTGTCTGTTGTTTCAGATGGTCAAGGAACTCAGAGAAAAAAATGTACTAGCAGGGTCCCATGTCTATATGTCAAGAAGGTGAAGGGCTGTAATAATGGTCAGAGACCTCAAAAACTTGCCTCAGGGTGAGAATCAATGAATGTGTAAGTACGTATATCAAAACCAGAAACTCGCTAAGAAAAGGCTTTTTGAACTCTGAAACAAACTCAGTTTTAATAACATCCAGTTGGTGCTAGATGAAGCAGATAAATGTAAACTACAAATAAAGCACACATTTTTAATAGAGATGTTAATTAAACTCTGGAACAGTTTATCATGGGTTGTGGTAGAWTTACCATCACTGGGATAATTTAAATCAAGTTCATGTGTGTTTCTAGAGGTCTCCTCCAGTTGAGAGGGAAGTTAATTCAAGGCAGTCCTGTGGCCAGTATTATTCAGGGAGTTAGGCTAGATGATCTCAATAATTTCTGGCCTGGTTAAATAYTAATCTAACAAAACTGACTTCGTCTATGTAGAATGATTAGAATTAGCTATAGACTGAAACAAACAGAGCACCATAAATTATTTCAGAAAAAAGGTAGCCTCAGAGACAAAGCATGATCTGGGCAGGTGGATGGAGACCATGGAAGGCAAACAGTTAAAGATGTAAAAGGAACCAGGGTARTAAAAAAAGCCAAATCAATAGCATGAAAATAGAAAACAATAAAAAATATTTATATTCTGGAAAAAAAAAACCCAACAACCAAATCACCCAGCATATTTTCCTACATACTCATATGAAATGAGTGGAAGGAAGAGGATAAATGGACATAGAAGGCACAGAAAAATAGCATGGTCGGAGGTTATTTATGATATGTGGCAATGGGGAATAAATCAGCACATTAATCTGAGTCAGTTCCTCTGTTTCAATAAAGTGAAAATTAGTTGTGCTAGTGTRGAAACACATAATGTAGTAAATGATATACACTGGAGCAGCAGGGATCATTTGCTGGGCACACATCACTGATGTGCATAAACTGTTGCAAATGGTGTTTACAGAGGACTAACAGATTCTTTAAAAAGCTTCTAAAATTCTTGAACAGTTCCTTAGATGATCAGCAAGTATKTTTTAGTGCATATGTACTTGGCTAGATGGTAAGGTTATGCAACCCTTGAATTATCTTGTGTGCCGTGCACTTAATCATGTGTTCTTCTGGGAATGTATTTTAATACATTTTCTTCTTTATTGGGTGTGAATTGTAATGAGCTTATTCTAACTTGGCAGCTCACTTCCCAACGATTGCCATGAATGTAACAGTGTTCATCCACAAGGATATGCAGTGCTAGCACAGTCACTAAATCAGGCAGCCTAATCTGGTTCTAGAGTGTCTTTAACCAAATAGATTGCCAAAAAATACCCCAAAAAACAGTACTCTGAAGTAGTGCAAAGGATCAAATTTCTCATACAATTGGCTAATTCCTTGTTCTGTGAAAGAGCTGTGTAAGACCCTGGACTATATTTGACATTCACAGAGAAGTAAGATCAGCCCATCTCACTGGCACCAGGCTTGTGTGCTGGAACTCACAGCTGCCATCCATGTTTCCATCTGACTCCTCTGCTTCTTCTGAAGGGGGTGGATTCATTTGGGGAAAAAACATTCAGCTTGTATCTTGAGACTACCTGAGRTGYTTCAAGGTAAAATGTGGATTGGGGGATTCTATATTTGGARGTTAGAAAGCATATTCTTCTCCAACCCAAACTTCTGTGAAAGAAGGTCACAGAAACACAGCTGTGGAGCTTGGAAATCCTTYTTCTAAGATAATTGTTAGGTCTTAAAATTAATTTACAGGAAAGTTTTAAACGTAGCACTGCTTAGAAAATCTTCAAAGTTGAATTTTAATCCAGGCTGTGGATCAAAGGCACTCCTGCTTTGCAAAGAAGAGCAAATTATGTCTCTGCATGACAGGCAGCCCCGCAGGTTGCACCCCACAGCAGTTGGAGGCATAGCCTCAGGAAATGATCAGGATTCCTCTTAACTAAGGGTGGGTGGCTTTTCTTTATTTGCAATGAGAGTCCCAGCAGCAGCAGTGACTGGAGCTCTGTGAGTGGCGTGCAGCTCCTGCAGCCACAGCAGCTCTGCAAGGAGGCAGCATCTGTGGAGTCTTGTGGCTGCTTGTCACTGCCACTTTCTTTGTTCCCAGACCAGCTGTGACTCGAGGCACCTGCAGTTTCCTTCTCCTAAAGAAATCAGATGGGACCACAAGTGATGTACCCAAATCAGGTYAATTCCTTTGGTCTTTACTTCAGCCTCTGTGTGTTTGCAGGCTGCACGTGGTGCTCATGGAAGAGCAATCTGGGGATCTCCATTGCATGGAGAACTGTGTGCCCGTTGGGACAGGGATCCCAAGGACATGGGACASCCTGAGCAGCACCTCCCCTCGTGGTTTTGCTCTAACTCTGTAGAATTAGACTCACTCGTGTTAATTAGGGGGTTAATTAAGCCATCAAGAAGCATGGAATAAAGGGACTAGAAAAGTGGCTGATAGTGGTTTTCTACAGCCATGTCTCCTCTGTAGCAAATGTGACCATTGTACAGCCTGGTTTTACAMACTTACAGATACACAAGATTACACKTCAGGGAATGCTACAGAMACAACACATGAAACCTGGGGKYTTTTTATTGTTTGTGGKTTTTATTTAGTTATTTATCATAGTGCCCARCTGTGCCTGCAGGTAATATCTCAGCAATTTATTTTCTCACAAAGATTGCTTTTTTGGACACAGGAGTGCCAGTGACTCACTGGYCATAACTTCTCTCAGTTATTCTTCTGGGACAGCAGCGTTACAAACACACGCAAAATGAGAGCATAGAGCTATCRTCTGGTGGTCAGCTGAGGAGAGGAGAATGTGCTTATCCCAAAAACTTAACTTGGGGGGCAAGTAGGGCAAGTGCACAAAGGATGTTGATTCCTTTAAAAACTGTAAATTAAAGTTGGCATCCAAGGGGTTAAGTATCATAGAGCTAATTAACTATTTCAGTCTTGCAGCTGCTTCTTCTAAAGCTTGTCAGGGAAAAAGAAAAWATTAATTTAAAAACCTGTTTTCTTCATCCTTTCCTCTTTTGCTAGTTTTCATGGCATAATGAAAATAGCATTTAAAATCTGAGGTTTTAAAATTAAGTTAATTTTTTAAATTATAAACAAAAAAAATTAGGCACTTCAAAACATGTCAAAACAGATGGTATTTTTATTTGCATCTCACCTAGTTTGATGTTATTCCTCAGATGGGGCTGGGAAAAATGCTTAAAGATCTTTTCTGGCAACAAACAAGGAGAAAAGAGGCCATGTGATGGTGAGTGCAGGGGAAAGGAGGGCTGAAAGAAACAAAGAAAACTGAAAATTTGAAAGAGGGAAACATCATTTCAATGTGAACTTTGAATCAGCAAATGCTGGCACAGATGCCAAGTTTCTTCTCATTCGGGGCTTCAGGACTGAGTCTTTTACAAGTGCATTGCTAAGCTCTTAAAGGAGGATTATTTTTTCCTACCTAGACTGCAGAGATGAAGTTAACATTCATTATAATTTTCATTACACCTTGTATTTTGCTCACTACACAACACAGATTATTAATTATATCCTTCTTTTCTTATTAGGTTTTATACGTGGTGACAGGACTTACCTGCATTAATTCACCAAGACATACCAAAATTACCTTTTTGGTCACTCACATTATAAAAATATTATCACTGAATGCATAATTTGGGGCAGTTTCCCAAAAGCATAATGAAAATATGTGAGCATTGTAAAAACCATAAATTGATTTCCCTTCAGAAATTGAGCAATGCACATTTCCTAGGAGAAATCAGTGTCAAGGCCACAGTAGTTTATTCTTCCSTGGCCTGAGTTTTCACTACCTTTCACAGAGCTTGTCCTACAATATTATATTTCTAATATATTAATAATAGCTATGAAATTATCAAGAAATCTGTGGCATGTGCTTTGTTCCAGTGAATGGTCAGTCTTATTTTGGTTAAAGTAATTTATGCATGCTATTCTAGCACCTTCTAGCAAATGCACTTGTTTCCAGCTGTCAAAGAAGGCTATTTTGCCACACTATTTTATGTGCCCKTAAAATGATCAAGATATTTATCTTTATTAAAATGTGTAAATACCATTCTGGGAAAATATTCAGCTCCCTTTCACCACCTTGTTAACAAGTTATAAATGGTTTTGAGTGATAGCAGAACATGACAGATTGGAGAGTATCATATAACATAGAGAAATRTCCATGTATCCAAGATGGAGACTGAGCTCTTAGGAACTTTTTTCCTGCAGTTTCTGTTCCTGTTTGAAATAATGAAATAAAAGGCCAAGGGCTAAAATTAGTCTTCACAGTGTTTGCTCTTGGTTCTGTTTATATTCTGTGTCCTAAACCCTGTGAAATACTTTGTAGTCAGAGTACAGCATCTCATGTTAGAGTGGCACCTGAGTCCTCAAACTCACAAACTGCAGCTTTATTTTTGTATCCTTTCATCCCACTCTTGACTGGCACTTGGTAGTGTAGCCATAAAGTGAGTAATATAGGAAAAAAAAGAAAAATAAGGAGAACACAAACAAACAAACAAACAAACAAACAAAGAGATGGTTCATTTTCCCCTTAGTTTGGCTCCCATTGCTTTATGAGGCATGCATAGCCTCCATTTTCAATCAGTATTAAGGCATAGCCTCCATTTTCAATCAGTATTAAGGCACAATTTTAAGGTCTGCAACATGTAAATCATGTGAAAATATCTGAGCTAGCTTTTTGTAGACATCACACTCAGTTCCTGCCCTAAAAGCTGGAGAGACATCCATTCATCACTTCACCTCTGCTGACCCTGAGATCAAAATTACCTCTACCTGTGCCAGTATTGGCCAAGTGAGCCCTGGAGGTATTCACCTGACTGCCCCAACTGCCTTCACAATTTCTGGATGAGAGAAGCAGCTGTATTTGCTGAAAGCTCCTTAATATCCCTCCACTGAAGAAAGACTAATGAAAGGGCTGAGCCTTTGCTTTCCAGCCACCCCACTTCTGCCCTAGCCATAGCCAGCCCTGACATTGGAGAGGATCTCGTGAGCAATGGTTTTTGTCTGATGAGGGCAAGTCTAAGCAGGCTCAATTCAG